CAAGAGGCATTTTGTTTAATTTTTTTGCTTAATTCTTTTTCATTTTTCAAGCTACGAGATGTTTTCCTACGTTTCTCATGAAAAATTATGTCTCAGGAATGTAGGGTTTGGGAATTATGGCAGGTTTAAAAATATATATGAAGGCGAATTTTAAGCTGTCCTCCACTCTAGCTGTGACATCACGCACTCTAAGCCTTAACGAGCTGCGCAATACACACTAATGTGCCTCTTTACCAAGGTCTGAACAATGTTTAATATCTCTAAAAGTATGAATCTGATTTATAAGTTGTTTAATAATGTTAGAAATATGTGTAACATTTTAAAGTTGGAATGAGGTTTCTGAGTGAAAGTAAGAAGGAGCAGTTAGCAGTTGAAAAGATTGTTCAAATCTGAAGAATTTCTCCATTGACTTCCATGTTAAAAATCTGATGAATTGTGGGATGTATCTCTGGAATTATGAATGAGAAAATTAATAGCACTCGATTTCCGACCGAGCTGAACGTTTTGATGTTTGAACGGAGTTTCTGCGATGTGGAATGTGAGAAAAGAAGAGCGTCAAAATAAACTGGCGGAATAATAAAGAATTTTGTGCGTCGAAGAACAGATAGTGGGTATCAGCATTCCCACTAAAATATGAAGAGACATAAACAGGGGGGGGAGAGTTTAATTATGTAGTTTGTGTGTGTTTGTGAGGGAAACCTGTCGCTGCAGGTCCTGCATCCTCTTAGTTTCCACTGTTTTCTCTTTGGTCTTTGTCTGCGCCTCGCTGCTTCTTTTGCCCACATCACTTTTCAGTTTTTCTACCTGGAATGAAGAAAATCTGTTAATTCAACACAGTGCACAACATTAAAGTGTGGAGCTGGAACTGGCTTTCTGTACACATTCCATCCCTCATCGCAGCTGATCCTCAACAACTCAGTTCCTTTGGAAGCTGCTACCCTCACACAGCAGGCACACTGAACATGAAATGGAAATATAGTACTTGAGATGAATTCCTTCTTTAATAGTCAGACATACGTACATGCACACAGCACCGCACAGTGAAATGTAGTCTATGCATTTAACGACTCCTTGCATTAGCAGCAGTAGGCAGCTGTTTTACAGAGCACAGGGAGCAGCCTGGGGGTCTAGTGCCGTGCTGGGGGTCACTTGGCATCTCTTAAAGTACAATCTTTGTACGTTCAGATGCTTTTATCCAAAGCCACTTATGACCTTCATGACAGAGAGAGATTAGGCAATAAAGTTTCTACTGCGGTAAGACACCTCAAACTGTGCATGTGCTGTGCTGGAGAACACACTTTTCATGCTGAAATGATGCCACAAGGCTGCACACATATGACCATTAAAGGGCAATCTCAGCACAAAATGAAAAACATTTGGTTCACTTTTTGTTTGTGTATTGTATGTCTTTGTAAAGATCAGTGTACAGTGGAGGTGAAGGAGCCCACCTGCTCTTTGAGTTGGTGAATCTGAGTGGTAGCAGCCTTCAGTCTGCCAGCGTCTCGATCCAGCAGCTCCTGGTTTTCTGCAAACCACTGCAGCTTTTTGCTCAGGGACGACACCTGCTCTCTGTGCTTCTCCTCCAACACGCGCATATCAAAGGACTTATCACCTGTCACAATGGATACAGATGTGAGTAAAACCAAACATCACGTATAGATTTAATGTGTTCAAGTCTTATGTTCTACCACTAGCAGTTTTACCTGAGGCAGACACGGCCTGAGCTTTAGCGAGGTCCCTCTCTTTCTTCATCAGCTGCAGGTCTACCTCCAGAGCCTGCTTCTCCTGCTTCACTCTGCGGACATCCTCGCACAGTGTGGCTTCATTCCTCTACACACACACACACACACACACACACACACACACACACACACACACACACACACACACACACACACACACACACACACACACACACACACACACACACACACACACACACACACACACACACACACACACACACACACACACACACACACACACACACACACACACACACACACACACACACACACAACTGAGGGAGCTGAAACGCAGCTTAAGAAATAACGTTTCAGTGGTTGTGTTATTTACCTGAAATTTATTATTTTGAGCTAACAAGTCAGTAATGCGCTGAGTGTGATCCATCAAACACACATTTCCAACAGTCCTGGAGGTATTTTTCAGCTGCTCCCTGGTGAAGTGGTGGAATACGGAGAAAACAAACATTTAACATCATGTTTTTTGCACAAGCAATTTTCAGAGTTAGGATAGACACACATTAAGTCGGGCATCACCAAGACGCTGACCTATACGGACCCGTATAGGTCCTTCTGCTTCTGTTCTAACCGGCGCAGAGAGGGGGCGCCAGAGAGTGAAAACAGAGCTTTCAAACCAGAGTGCACAGACTCATCCATGTTCCTCTTGCCCACTGGGAGCACAGATCCAGTGTGTGTCACACGCTCAGAGACCGTGGAGCTCATTACATATCTACTATTTGTGTAAACTTCAATAATAAGTGACAATAAATATTGTCTAAGTGTTTTTTTTAATTGTACAGCTACTACGCTACTTCAATATATCACACTAATTCATAACGCAAGTTAGACATTATGATGTTTTTGAGGAAATGTTCTCGAACTGGATCTCGCTGAATTGAAATTGAATTCCCCTGCATTAAGTGAACCCACCTAGTGAAGGCCAGCTCGTTGAGCAGCCTCTGGTTTTCATTGAACATGGCCTCCTCGTTGGATTTACTCTGCGCCTGCTGAGCCTTCATCTGCAGGTACAGCTTCTCATTCTCCTGTATTGGCACAAATGATCAAAACACAGGAGGAAAAGAAAGAAAACTAAAGCAAAACAATTTTAGATCAAATTGAGACATGGGAGATATGTTTTAATAATTGATGATTTAAGTTTAATGAGCTGGCACAATGGAGACTTGGAGAGCTAAAGTCTAGCTCAAATGTTCTACCTACTAAATCCCTTTCTTCTCACATCACTACACACTGCAGAATGAGTCTTCACACTAGTTAGCAGAATATATAGATTATGAGATTGGGTTAGTTTGTATCAATGAAATGTGGAGCAGTGCCTTATGAGTATATTTTCTACTTTTTTTCTTTCTATTTTTACTCAAATATTTTAGTGATTTTGGACCTTTGATTAAACGTTTAATACTTTTTGAGTGGGAAATAAGATGGTGTGAAACTCTCTTACTGCAATCTGGATTTTATTTCATCTTCTCACAGGAAATGTAGCAAGACTCAGCACCAACGCACTGTTGTTTCGGTCCAGAACCTTTTTTATTCATTACGTTTTACAGAGAGAAAAATCAGTCCTGTCCCAAGTTCCTTAAGCTTCATTTGAATGAGACTAGAGTCCTCAATGTCCCATGCTGTTAGGGAGCAGCAGTTGAGGATCCTCCCATCAGTGAAAATGGACTCCCACAAAGGGAAGGATATCTCTTAATTACAACCGGTACAATTTAATATAGGATCTTACTTTAGATTTGAGACTATGTTAAATTAAAGTAATTCGGTTTTTTTACTTAATGAAAGGTAAACTATGTATAGATATATATTTACAATTGTAGGTTGCATTTTTACTAGACTCAGCAACGTACTGTAATTGAACAAAAAATGGCCAGGAAAATAGTAGACCCAAAGGAGGAGAAGATTAGGCTCCAGCCAGACAGAGATACCTTCCGACCTACATTCCATTTACATATAGAATACAATATTTAAAACACACAGTGGCTTGCCAATGCTCTCTTCCTATCCAGAAACAGAGTTGATTAATACTAGAACCGCCAACGGGTAAATTTTACCCGCAGCTGTTTTTTGATTGTATGTAACTTTTTTTCCATAACATATTAAAGTCTCCCAGTCCGTGACTTTTCCCGAAAGTGTGTTATATAGCACCTTCTGTTGTGAACAATTGTCAATATGAAGTCAGATTGAAAAAATCGCCAAAAAAATGCCATTTATACCCATATCCGCCAGCGGGTAATATTTACCTCATAGAAAATGCAGCGTAAACATGACGTGTTGCTATAGCAACGCCTTTTGTCTACTGCGGTTCCTTATAGATAGATAGATATATTGAGAGAGAGAGATAGATAGATATATTGATAGATAGATGGATAGAGAGATAGATAGTTATAGATAGCGTAACATCTTGGAGAATACAAGATCTTGGATGACTGAGCTCACGTTGAGGACGTAATGCATGTGTGCAGGTTACGTGCCAGTTGAATAAAGATGGACACTCGGAATGAGAGAAGTAGTCCGCGTCATCGTCTGTTTATGTAGACAATTATATGTCCATAGAACAGAACATTACTGATAGAACGATAGATAGTTAGAGAGAGATAGAGAGATGAATACCTAAACAAAACACAAGTCTAACACCAAGCGTTTAAATCAGCACTTGTAGCAATATTTTATACTTCATGCAATCTGCACAAAC